AGAGGCCAATTATTTATAGAAACTAAGGTTAATTTTTCCCTTTGTGGTTCTGATTGTTTGGTTTCCAGGAATCAATCCCAGGTTAAGAGATTAGCAGTTTCTTCACATTATGCAAGAGGCTTAGAAGGGGGACTGAGAAAGGGGAAGTTGTTGGCATGTCAGAGCAACCACAAAAAAATGTCAAAGGAAGCTGTTCTTTCCTCTTGATTACAAGAAGATGTATCATGTAAGATGACTTGATTTGCTAAAGAGGGTGTAGCACAGTGACAGATATTATTGGATGCAGCTAGTCCCTGATACATATCAGCCAGTGGAAGAACAATATTATCTCACTATGTCCTATGAAAAGCTTCTAGGGAGCGTGTTAATCAGGACATCGAATTCCAGAGTGTTTGGTTCTAAATGTATTGGAGGGAATGGGGCAGAAACAGAGCATGGGAGAAAGTGGGAAAAGAGATATGCCCAGTTCCCCTAAGCTTGATTATTTCAGGTTAACTTTTTAAATTTGAGGCAAGATATAGAGATCTGGAAAATATGAAGGGTAAAGTTGATATAAATTCTTAGCTGCTGTTAATGCATGTTACAAATGGTTGTTTCTGCAGGCATGTATGATTGAATTAGCTAGAGGGAGTGGGGTAGCATTAGCACATCTGTATGGGCTGCTGCTGGACTCAGCACAGTCTGTCCAGCATGGGTGGCTGTTTGATGAAGCAAAATTGGAGCAGGGGGTTTGAAACTTTCAGGCCTCGGGACCTGTTAGTGATTTTTTTCTTCTTCCAGAACCCCTGATCAAGAGGCAAAACTCTAGTGATAGAAAATTGGCTGTGTTTGAGGGCGCTTTTTTTCTTCCTTTAGTCTCTCATGGAACCTCATCAAGTTCTCAGAACAATCCTTGAAAAACCAGTTGGAGATTTGGAGTAGAGGGGAAACCTTCTGTTTCTCATATTTTAAGTGGAAAGCTCCTCTGCCTAAGTGGAAACATGGAAAACTGTTTTCCATGCAATAGTTACAAATGACATAATCTCTTCCATAACTGCTATCCATGAGTGCAATAAATGCAGTGATGAAAAGCCATTTGGTAGCCATTTCAGAGAAGCTGAGGGTTCTTCTGCATAGTAGCATTGAAGAGCTTTCATCTAGTGTGGAAGCCAGTGCTAGGTGATGTTGGCTCATCAGACTCTGCCATGAAGCAGAATAAGGGCTCTATCCTCAGTGACAGCCCAGAGAGGGAGTTGGAGAACTGGCAGTGGAGAACTGGCATCAGAAAAGCCTTTTCTCTCTCTCTTTTTTTAAAAATAATTTTATTAAATATTATAATTGCAATAGTAAAAACTAATACAAATAAAAAAAGAAAGAAGAGTAGAAAGAAAGAAAAAGTGCAAAGGAAAAGAAAAATTAGAGGAAAGAAAGAAAGAACGAACAAATATAGTAAAGAAAAAGAAAAGTAATATATAAAGAAGTGACTTCCAACCTTCATCACAAGTATAAATAATTTCACCTCCTCTTAATTTACAACCAATGATCTTTTCATCCCATGCCCATCTGTTATCTATGAACAAATCCATAGAGCACTGTCAGTTCAGTCTGTTGTCAGCAAAAGTTCATTAAAAGTTGCTAAAAATAACAATGTATCTATTTTAACCTTGATCAAATAAACCAACTTTACATTCCTTCCTTTTACTTCTAACAGTCTTAATCTTTATTCTGTTCAAGCAATGTCCTAGAACTTGATTGCTTTTCATTTCTTTTTTATCTTTTCTCACAAGATTCATCCAAGCTTTAACAAACCTCTTTTGTAAATCCAATATAAAAGAATTATCTGGGTTACTCTCTTGGTTTATTATTTGTAATTCCCTTTTGATTTTTATTTTTTAATTATTTGACATTTCTTTATATAATACATAGCACCACAGTACAGCAGTTTTATCTTTTCTCACAAGATTCATCCAAGCTTTAACAAACCTCTTTTGTAAATCCAATATAAAAGAATTATCTGGGTTACTCTCTTGGTTTATTATTTGTAATTCCCTTTTGATTTTTAAAGCATCAACCAATTTCTTTTGTATGTCCAATAAAACATCTTTTTCCATGTCATTCTTGTAACCTGTCATTTGTAGATCCACTTTCAGTGTCAACTCCTCTGTCTTATCAGATAAAAGTTGTCCCTCTTCTGCTATTTCTTCTAAAACATCTTTTGGACTCAGCCTGTCCATAGAAGCAAACATCACTATTGACATTGTTGATAATAACTTCTGATTCCATTTTTCAAAAGTATCCTTCAGTATTTCCAATGTTATAATATTTTGTGTCATTCTCTAGCTGTTAATCATATTTATGTATTCTCCTTTAATTAAAATCTTTCGTTCCCTCTACGGTCCAATTCTTAAAATTGTTTATCTCTTAGAAAAAATTCAAAACAAGTTGACTTTCCCATGGGAAGGATTCTTTATAATTAATTCCAAAATCTTATTTCAAATTTACCTGGACCCTTAATCCATTTTTAACTTTCTAAAATCAAAGTCTTTTTGCTGTTTATTTCAATTTTTTTAAAGTTCTTAAGCTTGTATTTAAAATTTTCTTTCATTAAAGGTTTCTAATAGCTGAAAAGTAGTTAGTAAGTAATTTCCAAATGTGATTAGAAAAGGAAATATGCAAACTTAGTGTCCCTTTAAAGGTGGTGACTGTAGTTTTAGCAAGATGCCTATTCTCTCATCTCCCAGTGCTCAAAACCCACCTGAGACTGCTGTCTTTCAGTTCCCTTGCAAGGAGCAACTGTCTGGAGCACTTACGGGCAATCTCAAGTCCTCTCTTTGTCCGGAGAGGAATTATGAAGAGCCGGTCTATTTGTCAGCTTTTCATTTCACCACAGTCGTTGGCTTTGCTTTTCACAGAGCCATCTTCAGTCCACCATTTCTTCCTCTGGAAATCCAGAAGAGTCTTTTTCCATTGTTTTCTCCTCCCACTTCTTTCCCCTCTGTGTTTCCTGCCACCCATGATAAGAGAAGGTTGGGGAAGAGACCTCTTCTCTGCTGCTCCTCTTGCCATGGGGCTGGCTAAGTGAGGGACAAAAGAAGGAGAAACTGGTGTTCTTTGTAGGTCTACAGGCTGTAGATCTGCTTCTCTCAGGGGCAGATGCACACAGGAGAGGCTGCTCTGCAGAGTGTATTCCTCCCCATCTCCAGAGCATAGACTTTAGTGATATCTCTTATTCTTGTTCCGATTCATATTAACTTTAACACAAAATGGTATTGCATTTATTGCATGCAAAGCAAGATTGTGTGTGGGGAAATGAATGAAGAGAAGGACCTCAATTTTAAAATACTTGGGTGAGTCAGCTTTTATTATTTTAACATTAATGGATGTTGGCATTTGCCAGCAGTTGCCACACGGTAATGATTGTTAAATATTTTTGATAGCATTGTAGAAAAATATTGGAAGCCCTGTGAACACAGATGGCTTAGCTGTATGGCTTTTATTAATTTTGTAACCTACTATATCAAAAGAATTTAGAGCAGGTTGTGTTAAATATATCACACATTCAGGAGGGATTTTACATCACTTCATTCTGTATTTCATTCTACTTTTCAAGGCAATGAAAATGCTTTCTCCATCTAATTCCACCATACATACTTCAGTCCTAGCCTAATTGTTCCTTTCCTACCAGAGTAGATAGGGAAGATTTTTCCTCCATCATTCAGCGTGAAGATTTTAAAGTCAATCCAATTATGCATTTATGTACTTATGTGAAGTCAATCTATTTAATTATGTATCCTGTTCATTCATGCTCATCTGGGCGTGCACAATATAAGAGGAAGTGTGAGGTCAGCTTTTGTGCAGATATGGGGAAACATGTTTTGGAATAAGCTATTACAATTTATGTTGTCATTTGTATTTTATTACATACAGTATATTGCAACTGGCTATAATAAAAAGGACTGATTTGAACATAGCCATTTTAATGTATGAGTGGAGAAAAAATTTTAAAGGGTTGAAATGAGGCTGGGAAAATCATACACAGAAATGACAGAAGTGAATAACAAGAGCAAGGCTGAATCCATGGATGAGATACAGACAGGGCAAGATGATCAACAAGGCCAGGCAAAGAATATCAAGGAAGCTGGGAAAGTGATAGGAGGGAATGTTAACAAGGCACTGTCTCACATGTTATGGGAAGTGAATGTCAAAACAGTGACAAAGGCAATATTCTCAGAAGAAAAAGATATGTTTCACAGAAATGTTGTGCAAAGCTTGCTGAAACAAACATTAGGCTCCTGCACTTGTGATGACCAGTCTGTAGATAAGCAAAAGAACCAATCAGAAGTAACAGGTCCTGCATGAACATGTAATGAACATTATTCATTCAGAGAAGGAGGCTCTTTTGAGAAGGCTCTAGGAGGTGGGAAGCCAGAGGCCTACAAAAGCTCTAGCCTAGGAGAGACAGAGAGAAGACTTTGTTTGCAACCATGGGACAGCTGCAGAACAAGATCATTTTCTTTGGCCTAGCCACCTGAACTGTTGTGATATGTGAGATTTGTAGATTAATAAGAATCAGTACTCAGATTACTTAGGTTTATAAAACGTTTTGCTGTTGCTTAATATTTTGTGTATATCTCGCTGATTCTTCTCTATGTACTTCATAATGCTTTAGCAAAAACACCAATTCTTACAGAATGAATAATCACAGATCATTGGTCTTGTGTGGGGATTGTGCAATATCCCTATGGTTCCTACACTGCAGACTTGATTGCTCTGCTCTGTTTAGGCACAAAATAAGCTAAATTACATACAGTATAGGTTCTGTTCCGATGTATTTATAAATTCTTTTTGTTCTCTGTTTTGGTGCTTCCAGAAATTCGTACCCAGTTGGTGGAGCAGTTCAAATGTCTAGAACAACAGTCTGAATCCCGATTACAACTTTTGCAAGACCTTCAGGAGTTTTTCCGTAGAAAGGCTGAGATTGAACTGGAATATTCCAGGAATCTGGAAAAATTAGCGGAAAGATTTTCCTCCAAGATTCGTAGCTCCAGAGAACACCATCAATTCAAGTAAGCGTGTATTTACTGATTTTGGCTGTCCCAGAGGGTCGCTGAAGAATGTGTCCTTGGTTGCTATCTCAAAATGACACACTGTTTTAAAATATTGCTGGGGGTAGAAATGGGAGATTAAATAAAAGAAATTAGCAGAAATTGATGAAGCTTCTCAGAATTTTTTTTTATTATAAATTTTATTACATTTTCCCAAAACGTTGAAATACAGGAAAATCAAGAAAAGGGAAAGGAAAAAAAGAAAAGAAAAAAGGGGGGGGGAGGAAGAAGAGGGGGCATAAGAAAGAAAGAGTAGCTTCTGACTTTCCTTGGTACAGGTATAGATACAGAATATATTCGCAAATCAAGAAAAGGGAAAGGAAAAAAAGAAAAGAAAAAAGGGGGGAAATCAAGAAAAGGGAAAGGAAAAAAAGAAAAGAAAAAAGGGGGGGGGAGGAAGAAGAGGGGGCATAAGAAAGAAAGAGTAGCTTCTGACTTTCCTTGGTACAGGTATAGATACAGAATATATTCGCCTCTTACTCTAATATCTAAAAATATGAAGCTTCTCAGAATTTGAGGAATGTCTGTATATGTTGGTAAGAGAAATAAAGATTTAGGACCAATTGTATTTGACAGATATGTTGGACACTCTGTGGGGGATAAGGCTTGCACAAATTGAAGTTACACATTTATTTATTTTATTAATATAATTCCTCCATTGGAATTTGTGTGTGTTTGTAAAAGTATGTATGCTTGTATTAACCAGCATAATATTTACTGCAGATGTCTGTATTTTCCAAAGTTGTTTTGTCTTACAGAATCTAGACAGTAATGTCCAAGAATGTAAACTGATAACTATCTTTTCTTTTCCCTTTCATTAGTATTTCAGGATATTTTTTATTAGCTATTCACTTTGATTTCCAGTATTAATCTGGTGTCTGGTTTGGGAAAGCGTGACTGATACTTTTTAGTGTGTGTCATGTTCTGATGTTGTCTTTAAGATTCTGAACTCTAAATGAACTCTACATGTGCATGTTATAAGAAAAAATATATTCATACTGTGGGTTTTTTTGCAGCTCACTAGCTGAAGTTTTATGTTTCCTTTCCAGCAGTCTTCCTAAGGTGCAAGTATCAGTTATTTGCTGGTCCAAACTATCTTGTACCCCACCCTGGCCCCAAGTTTTAAAACTTCAGCTGTGTGATGTTAGGGCAATGGTCCCTAACTCTATTTTATTCAGCTTTATTTGAGTGGAAGTGTTTGTATTACTTTTTGATTAAAATCTCATCATTCTCTATTGTTAATTCCTCCTTAATTCCTTTACCTGATCCTCCTAGTGTATAAAGTTGGCTCCAACGCTGTACATATCATTGCTAGTCTGACGAGATGCATTTTGGGATCGATTGGCTGATGATGCGACCCTGGTATTCCAAATTTAATGGCTCCCAAGTCTCTTTTGGAACAGCAGTGGAACACTGGAACACATAAAGGAAATCATTGTGCCGTTATTTATGAAATGTATATTTCTTAGCTAAGGCTACTGTATTTTTTACTTTTGCATAATATTAGTTTCTTATGTAAGGGAAAGATAAATCACTGAGATTTGGAGGACGGTTTTAATTTTATAATTCATTTAGTGCTCTGTAAAATGATGATAATAATCACAGTTGTGTAGAAATTGGTATACCTTGATGTGAAAATTAATGCATAAGCTGGATGGAAGTAATAATGCATTTTGCTTCAAAAAATAAAGAATGGGATTATATTACCATATGACAGTGTTTCTCAACCTCAGTGACTTTAAGATGTATGGACTTCAACTCCCATAATTCTCCAGTTGGCTGGGGAATTCTGGGAGTTGAAGTCCACACATTGTAAAGTTGCTCAGGTTGAGAAACACTGCCATATTGCAAAAGAGATATTCAAATGATTGAAATTTTTCCCTTTCTCTAGGCATGGTAACAAAACTGGCATATTTTCCATTTCCCATAGGGTAGGAACAGGCCACAAGCTTTCAGGAGCACAAAATAAAGCACTTTTATGCCTTGCTTGTTTGTTGGCTACTTATAGGCAATTGCTGGGCTGCTATGAGGAAACTGGATGCTGGAACATACAAGCTAAGAATGGGCAGTTTCCATAATGCATTTTCCCTGCCCTTGAGTACCTCTTTGAATATCCTGGAGCCCAGCAAGATCACACTGTTGAAAACTGAGGAACAATAGCAGTGTGATGGAAGTAATATGGTGCTTGGCTGAATGTGGCCTCCACCCACAGCTCCTTTTCTGTGCCTCCTGGAGCCTTCCAAGATCATACTGTTGAAATCTGGCTATGAGTTGCCAGATAATGGCAGTATGATGCAAGTGAGATGATGTCTGACTTGGGGCATTACAAACAGAAAGCTGTTGTTTGACTAGCAGAAAGACAAAGAAAAAACAGAAAGACAAGAAATTTGGACATATCTTCTGAGAAATGACATCTGTTGATCAGATAATAAACATATTAGGAATAAAGCTGGCAAGATGGGAAACAGCCTTTCCCAAGCTTCAGAAAGCTATTACATGAACATACCTCAGCTTCAGCTCCCCACACTGGTCTTAAAGAGAGTGGTAAAAGTATCTGTTGCCTTTGAAAGGAGGGGAACAAGCCTAGGATTTAAACCCTGGAGCAGATAGGTATAGATGTAAATGTAAATATGTTTTGATTGCTGTGAACTGAAATAGGTAAATCTGTTGTATGTGGCTTCATTCTAGTCTGCATTAAAGTAACTAATTTAGCCAAGTTGGGATGAAACTAGGTGCTGAATCAGGGATCCGAGTCTGGAAAGCCTAGATGTTTATTTCTGGGGGAAGCATGACAGAACCATTCATAACAGACCATATTGTCCATAGGAGGCATCAATGACCAATTGTGTCCAAATAGGTCTCTTTAGTGCAATTTTAGTGCAGTGTAGATTCTAAGAGGGAGAATCTTAGGAAGATAAGGCAAATGCTGTCAAGCTGTGTCCTGTTTGGAACCATAGCTATGCCAAGATTAAAATAATGGAGATGAATGCAGGGATGGAATACTGGTGAAAAAGTGTGTGAATGGAATTAATCTGGAGATGGATTCGGTTTCATTAGCTCAATTCAGAGAGTTATCTTTAGTAAGCTTGATAATGGAAGGGTGTGTTCTTGTCAGGTTCAGCCCAAGAAACTTAGCGGGACAATTCAGGAACAGTTCAGTCACTTTATTAGGTTACACCTACTAGACAGAATCTCGCCAGACTAACTCTAACCCACAACGACCACAACTAAACACTCTGAATTCCTTGGGGTGGTGCCAGTATCATCCTCTTAGTTTTCACACACACAGGCTGTGGGCTGAGGAAATGCTTGAGATTCCTCTCTGACTCCCAGTGACCTTGGACCTCCTCACTCAAGTCTTCCATCACAGTTCTCTGCTTATCAAAAAGGATAATGATTGGCAGCTTCTTCATCCTGGGTTATCCTTAGTCTTTGCTTTCCTGGTCAAAATGAAGGCTTAGAGATAAGTTAAGAAGAGCATATTATTAGATTTTTATCGTGCCTTTTTATTTATCTATCAACTCAAGATGGTGAACATACCTGCCTCCTATTTTCTTCACAACAACAACTCTGTAAAGTGGGTTGGGCTGAGAAAGAGTGACTGGTCCAAAGTCACCCACTGGCTTTCATCCCTAAGGGAGGCCTAGAATTCATTGTCTCCTGGTTTCGAGGCCAGCACCTTAACCACTACACCAAAATGGCTCTCACTGAATGCTATACTTTTAAAGGCAACAAACTGAATAACTTAGTAACAATTAGA